CTCTATCTCTCTGTCAAATAAATAAATAAAATCTTTTTAAAAAAATTTCTGTTTCCTACAACTTGTGGTTCATGAATCAACAACAGTGGATCACCTAGGAGCTTGTTAGAAATGCAGACTCTCAACTAATGAATCGTTGAACACTACATCAAAAACTAATGATGTACTATATGTTGGCTAATTGAACATAATGATAATAATAAATAAAAAAATAAAAATTATGTGCCAGATGTTGGAAAGAAAAGAATTCCAGACTCTCAGCCCCCACTCCAGACCTACTGAGTATTTGCACTTTAATAAAATCTGCGGATTAGTACACTCACTGAAGTTTGAGCAGGACTGCCTTATTTGGCGGTATTTAGGATTGGTGTATTTCTTATAAAAATTTACATTTCTACTTCCCTTGAAAAATCCCTCCATATGCTAATTCTGGCAGTCTGTGGTTGGAATTGAGAAACAGTTGCTCAGTTTAGACTTGGACTTTACTTGCCAAGTTGCTCTATCCCCATGCTGCTTCACGCATGTATATGACCTGCCTAGACCCTGTGGGAGTTTGGGGAGAAATCCCTGTGATAGACAAATGAAAAAAGATGACAAGAGAGTGTCACATGTGTAAACCACAGCAGGTAAATGCAACTTGTCCGAGTTAATTTTCAGAAATAATTTCTGTGCCAATAATAAAATTAGAAATTACCTTTGATCAAACTAGTCTTTGGTATGTTTTAATCAGGCTAGTTTCCAGTGTGCCCAGAAAAATAGTTTAAAAGGTGGCATTCTTAATATCAGTAAACATTACTTTAAGTAATTAGATTAGTTACAATCCATGTGATTTATTTGTGATTGCAAAAATGCATGCCCAAATAATAACTTACTTACATTCTTTTTATTTGGGCAAGAAGTAATCATGTTATATATATGTATGTACACGTCATATATTTTATATAACATATAGAAAGAGATGTAACATTTTTTACCATATGTCTCCCCCCAGTTTTATTAAGATAAAATTAATAGCACTGTATAAGTCTAAGGTGTACAACATTATGACTTACATATACTGTGAAATGATTTTAAAATGCCATTTGAAAAGAGATTTTTACATGCAGCATTGCTACTGCAATCTCAGTATTTGTGAAAACCTATGCTTTCATTACAGTAGCTGCCTGCCTCCTGCTTCTAAGTATCCACGCATTCTTAATTTATAAAGTGCGTGTATCGCATTTTGAAAGGAAGCCTACTGCCATGTCAAAGAGACATTGCTTTGTGGAGTTTTATGGTATTGCTGCCAAAAAGCATCTGAGGCATCTCATTTTGTGAGCATTTAGGCATAAATAGCCACACGGCTGATGCTATGGTCAGTAAAGAGCAAAATACTGAATTATTCCTTGTGGTATATCGGGAATTAATCAAATAATATGAGTGATGGTGATATTAATCACATTTAGTGCTTTAGCCTTCCTGTTTTGTCAATAATTCGAACGATTTTCTACCATATTCTTTCATTAAATTTTGTATTTGCTTTCTGAGAACTTAGAATGCATATTTGTTACATTTTAGGATCACAGGTTCTCAATAGCATGTAACACCAAAAGGCTGAATTGCTTTCCTGTCCTCATGGATATCATCAGCAATGGGCTACTTGGAATTTTTAATTCTTCAGAACACATTCGGACTGACAGAAGCACGTATTTTGAAGTAAGTATAATTTTTTAGAGGGGGGACAGAAGAAGAGAGAGAGAGAGTCCTAATCAGGTTCCACGCCCAGCTTAGAGCCCGATGCGGGGCTCGATCCCACAACACTGAGATCATGACCTGAGCTGAAATCAAGAGTCGGATGCTTAACTGACTGCACCACCCAGGCGCCCCAGAAGTAAGTATAATATTATCTCACTTACCCTGAACTTTAAGGAGTTTTCAAGAAGACACTCGAAATGCTGAAATAACATCATGTTAATTTTTGTGAACTTGTTCTTGAATAAGTGTATGTTTTACATACATGTAGTTTACATTTACGGGTTTATACACACACACCTATATACATACACACACTATCTGGTAATGATTATGCAACATTATAACCTGAATTGGATGACTTGGGGTCAGTGGAACAGCAGAAAATACAATTAGTTGAGGAAAAGAACTGACAATTTTCATCTTAGATCTGTCACTGTCTGTTGCAGTAGGTAATGGGACCTCGTTGAAACAGCCAGAGTCTTAAAGGCCAGACAATGTGTCCTTAACAACTTGACCTTCTGTAGCCCTTGGCTCGGCAATCCACAGGAAAAAAATACAGATAAAAACTTCATCTCAAAGTTTTCTTAAGAAGTAAATAAGGCAATGTGAGCACCAGGTGCAGTTGACTGAGTTAAAGACGATCAGTAAGGCACAAAAACATCGGAAAGCACAGGCACTCGATAAACTGCTCTCATTATCACTATTGCTATTTGTATTATTTTTCTTCGGAGCGCATCGAGTTTCCATTAAAGAACGTTCAGCTTTGACTAGATCAGCAGACGGGGCTGAACTAGAAGCAGTTCTTGTTTACGTACAGTTTGCCAGGCCTGCTCAGATCTTGAGTCAGAACCTCCACAGAACCTCCACACACCACAGTGGGGGAGGGTGAGCAGCTCTATCATCTCGCCATCTTGAATCTCCCTTCGCCTTCTTGAAATGACACCATACTCCACAGCATACTCTACAGCTCCCTGGTCACTCTTTGTTATTAAGAATTATTCCACAAAAACTAATGATGTAATGTATGGTGATTAACATAACAATAAAAAATTTAAAGAAAAAAAAAAGGAAGACCAAGCATAGATACTAGGAACGATTTCATTTTAGAAAAAAAGAAACAAGGGGTGGGGGTGGGGGGAGAAGTATGATTCCTATATTTGATTAGTGCTTAGAATTTATTTCTATTTTAATATCCATTATCTACTCAAACTTAAAAATCTACAAAAGTTGCTATAGATGTTTTTTTTTTTTATTTTACATTTTCCTCCATGTAGATTATTGCTTTTTGGCATCAGCTTTTGCCCTCAGCTTTTGGAACATCTATTCTATGAGTTATATCAAAAAAGTTATTCTTGGGGACTGACTCCTAATATGTACTTCCTCTCTCCGGGACAACCACCTCAAGCTCCTCTGACCCACTTACTGGTCATCAATAAAACAGGTAAACATAGAGCTAAAATGTAACTTTTCAGTGTTGTTCTTCTTGAAAGATTCCCCAGACAACATAAACCATGAGGGGAAAAATAAATTCTGTATGTTTTAGAAAACACATATGAGGCCAAATAGGAAATTAATTTAAAAAAATGAAAAATTCAAGGCTGGGAAGTTTATTTTAGAAACACATCTTGCAAGGTTACTTAAATCCTAAAGTTGATTGCACCGAGCAACCAAAGGGGATTTAGTAAGATAAATCATTGACTGATCTTTGAGGCCTTTCCACAACATTTTTTAAGTACTATGCATTCTTGGGTGCTGGAAAAAAATCTGTTCCAAATTTCTAAGAAAATAGAAGATTAATATCTTTAAGGATTATGTTAATTTTAAATAGTATTTTTACACTAACAGAAATTATATGTAAATGGCTAGGCTCTAGGGAAAGTAATCTTGTCCTATCTTTGATATCAGAATGGATTTTGGTATCATAGCATCATTTCTGCCTTTCTAAGGAAATCCTTAGACAGTCTTTTATTATGGTATGCTTTGTGTGACATCATTTAGTTTAGGGTTTTTTTTTTTTTAATATTACTTGCCTGTTGTTTTACTTGCCTCTTGCTTCTTTTGATTTTTACCTTCACGGTAGGGTCAAGTATTGATAACTTTATACATTCACTGAGGCAACAGAACATAGCTTTGGAAGTGGATGCCTTTGGAACTAGAAGTGGCCCAAATGAGCTATCATACAATGGTGTTATCACTGTGTCAGGTGATGATAAGGTATGTTGGGCTCTGACTGTTGCATCTCACCAAAGATGGGGTATGGACGCCATTTGAATAATACCTAACAACAGACATAAAAGGCCAATTTAACACAAACAGATGGGATATCTCCCATTTGTAAGAGGAGAAGTTGTACTGCAAATATTTGCCCACAGCCTCCATTATAACAACATAGAATGAAATGCTGTTTGATTTTATTCCTCATTAAATTGTATGCACTATTATTAACAATGAATTTAAGTCTTATTATGAATTGTATTCCATTCTAATAATGAATTTAAATCTTATTCTCAATTGGATTTTAACTCAAATGACACTTTGAGGAATCCTCTAACAATAAGTCTGATTAATATCTATTGTGAACTTCAGCTCTATTACCAAAAAAAAAAAAAA